CACAAATGCAACATTACCTTTTTCTTCTCTTCTTCAAGTTTATGCTTCTCTCGCTCAGTCAAAACCTCACGCTTACTCAGCTCTCTACTCCAAGAATCTAGCTGCTTCTTCTTGTTCTCCAATTCTGCATTCAGACTTTCCTGTTCACGTAACACCCTTTGGACATGCTCCCGTGCAAGGCGCTGCATCTTCCTAGATTCTGCATATTTGCAATGGTGCCATTATCCCAGGAAAGGAACAAAGTGTGAATATTACATATGACAGAAAAGTAACATTAAGCTCGAAGTAGGTTGCAACAGATGTTTCACTGTCCATTAGTGCAGGCAAGAATTATGCATAACAGAGCACAACTTCCATCATGACCCAGGAGTCCACACACAAGTAATAATACATGAGAGAACAGATGCATGCCAAAAACAAACGCAGCAAAAACAGAAAGAGAAAACCTTCACAGAAGGCACGATGAAGTATGTCCTTCTCCTCAAGCATTCGACTAAGAGACAATGTCTTCTCGTTGAACTTTGTCTGTAACTCATCAAGGTTTTTATTCTTCATATCAATCTCAGTTGCTAGATTGGATACAATTTTGATTTTGTCCATCTTTTCTTCTTGTTCAAGATCCATGATGGACTTCAACTGTACGGTCTCGCGGAGGTAGTAGCCAATTGCCCCTTGTGAATGATAATCATCCTCCCTTGCAAACCAACCATAAATATTAGAGCCAAGCGAGCACCTATGAGCATTCCAATCACTCTTACTGCAGCCTTCGGCCGCAAATGCCTTCTCAAACTCCAACACATTTTTATAACCAGTCCAATCATTTTTGAATTTGATAGCAACTTGGGAAGTGTGTGACTTATCATCACAGAATACCTTCACTTCCTGAGCTCCATACTTGGAAAACTTCTTTAACCAAAAAGCTTCTTCCTCTACTGCCGTCCCTGTTGCCTTTTTCAGTACATTCACGACAATGCCCATCCAAGGCCAGCAGTAAAGATGATTCTGTTCAGAAGCTACTTTTACCGGTGGAACAGCTCGTTCTGGATGTGGCTCAGCCTCATCTGCTAGATCTGTCTCTAAATACTGTGCCAATGCCAGGTGGTTGGCTTTCTGTATTATCCTTCTGTTTGTGGAACCTTTGGCTACTCCTGTAGCATGCTGAAGAAGTTCATTGTACTTGTAATCTTGCTTCTTCTTTCCCGCGCAGAACGGGCATCTAAGGCACCCATTTGGACCCTTTACTTTGAATTTACCAGACTTCAACTCCTCATAAGGTTTCTCCTTATAATCATTGATCTCTGACTCACTAAAGTCTGATTCTTCGTCTGAGCTACTCATCTTCTGTCAATAAAAATAACATTTTCTTATTAAAAGGACAGAATACTACTCCAAGAACACAATTACTCTAATAGTATCCGGTGCAGAATTTGGCCTAATTTCTCAAAATACTCTGAACGATAAAAATGCACACTTAACAAACTAAGGGATGCAGAATAAAGATACATGCAAAAGGAAATGTCGCAACTTCCAGCAGTATCCTCGCAGAACAGAAAGAGAGATTAAGATAATAAACGAGACATAAACAACAACCATTGATGCCCTATCGGTTCTCAACAGATTTATAGAATTTAGGTTAAGATATTTAGCATTAAAAAAAATTCTGCAAAAAATCTGTTTTCCTCATGTTGCTCTTGAAAACTGGAGATTAATCTTAAATTTTCCCCATAAATTAATAAGCTCACCTGTAGGGATGAAGATGCATGGATGGACAGATGTCTTTCTCCTGCGGGTTTTACACCGTAAATGTATTGAAGTTAAGGCAGAAACAGGAAAAGGAATGCGGAGATGAACCGGCGCCGCGCTCAGTGCATATTGTGGGTGGGCTGATGATACTAATTTCCAGACAACGGAGCAAAAACCATTCTTTTCGCCGCACACCTATTTGAATTTTGATGCGACAGATTGGTGTTTTTCATTTTGTGTCATTTGTCATCATTTAATGACCGAAAGTATACCCTAAGAAACTCCACAGAGAGTTTAACTGACTTTTTTATTGATTTACATAGATTTTCATATACTTGATAGGACTTCCATAGATTTTAATGCTAGAAGTCTAGAACTATCGATGCAAGTATGTATGAAAAACACTTGTACATAGAAAAAAGTTATCCAAAGTGTTTAAAAAAATTCAAAAAATAAATTACTCTTAAAAAATAAGAAGTACATTATTAATCATCATCTTAATTATTAGTTCCAAAAAAATATAGAGGGAGATCTGCATTACCAAAATAGGGAAATAAACAAAGAAATGCAATAAAGAGGTATATCAATATTTTTCCAATGAATTTGTAAAATCCAAAACAAAAGAGCATAAAAAACAGAAGCACTGATGAAGCACTGGAACTTTGGCCGAAAAGCGAGTTCCTCGTGAGGGAGAGTGATTCCCATGTCGTGATTGAATCTGAACTCTACTTGACGCATGGATGAAGCACTAGAACTCTGGTCGGCTGAAAAAGGAGATCGGAACGATGTGCCGGACCCTCTTCTCCCCGACGTACACCACAAAATGACCCTTCGGGACGTCATTCGGCGGCGACATTTCGTCCCCGTCGTACCCGGTGGTCTTCCTCCCCATGCTCGAACACCTTTTGAGAATCTGGTTGATCGCCGCCGTCTGCAGCGACAAGTTGCTCAATTTTCTGATGGCCATTTTTTATTATCGGAAAATTATATATTACAGAGGTCCGAGAACTTGATCAAGAAAGAAAGTGGTGAAGAAGAAATGAAAGAGTGCCTGACGGGGAGGGGAAAGGGACGATGTGAATTGCTAACAAAAGGCCAAAGGTTTTTTCTTCTAACCTTTCATTTTCAGAGTGCAGAGTGTTTGACAGATTTTTGGAAATCTCTGGTTGTTAGAAAAGATTTTGAAGAGTAAAATCTACTTATACTTCTGGGAGTGAATCAATGAAAATACATAAGAGTATTAAAATGCATAGATTGTTGAATACCTACATATTCTTTAGGATTTTTTATAATCTATATTAAATACGTCATTATTTTTAAAGACTTTTTAAAATCAAGATTGAATACCTCCAGATTTTTAAAATCTAAAAAAATCCTACAGAGTCCACAACCAATACACCCCCCTAATAGTTTGTACTAGTGTGATGTTGGTATGATGTTTGATATTAATGTCAGTACAATTTTTTTAATAGAATTGACATTTTGTATCAAAATGCACCGTTAAAATGTTGGTACAACTCTTTATGAAAATTATAGTTTTGCAATATTAGAAATTAACATTTCATTTTAATTCTTGTATATTAATTCTAAAATCTAAATTTTTATATTTTAAAATACAAAGGAAGTTTATGAATTTCAAATTGAACTTTGTTATAAACCAGAGAAATTTGTCTCAAATTAAAATTCAAATTTCTTAACACTGTTTGGTTCAATGAGTTTGAAAAGAAAATGAGAGATAAATTTTTTTTTCATATTTGGTTAGAAAGGAAGAAGAAAAGAAAATGAGAAGACAAAATTACTAAGAAGAGAGAAAACTAAATTTCTCCCATTTTATTGAGAAAAAATGAAAAAAAAGTGATTTTCTTTTATTTTATTTCGAAATTCCTAAAACCAAACATGAAATTTGAGCTAAATCTGGGTTTTGAAATCAAAATCTAAATCATTTTCCTTTTTTCCTGTACCAAGCCTAAATTTTTGCAATGTTGTCGCCCTTCCTATCTATTTTTTTACATTATTTGTCATTTTTTATTAAAAACGTATATTAATTTAATTAAAAAATTATATATTAATAAATATATATAATTATAATTAAAAATTATAACAATAAAAAATAGTAAAAATAAGAAAATACTACATTAAAATCACATAATACTACATTAGTAAAAGAGAGACAATATAACATGTTTAAACTTTTTAAAAAATTAAAATTACTAAAAAAAATTAAAAAGTGCTTGAAAATTTAAAACTTAAAAAATAAGGACTGCTAATTTCCCTATTCGATCATGGAGTGGGTCGCATCCATTTTGTCCTCCCTCTCCGACATCCCTAACTTATCCTCTCTCACGAATGCCTTGAGGTGGTTGATGTGAACAGTCGTGCTCATCTTTCCATGGAAGTACATTCTTCCAACGCCGGGTTTGGTGGGGGTGGGAGTGACATACTTGGAGCCTTGGACTTACCCTTTGCCTTCTTTGTCTCCTTCGTTCCAATCAAAAGGCTCTCACTGTTGGGTTCCTCCTTGAAAGCGTTTAAGTTGTCCCCCGAAGTGTTGAGGTCGATGGGTTGCCNCGAAGAATTTGGTTGGCTTCAGCCCCGATCCTCCAGGGTTCGCCCCAACGCTAAGGTACTGCAAAAATTTCCAGATATCCAAAAACTTAAAAACTTTCTTTTCTGCTTGGAAATAAAGGTCCTTCGCCTTTGGGAGAATGTCATCGTCATTGGATCCACTGGACTGCGTCTTCTAGACGTTGGTAAACAAGCCACTAAACTTTTTGACTTTTGAGTGCGCATGACCACAGTATTTCTGAAGCATCTCTCCATCATGTTCGTGTGTATCGTTGGGCCTCCCGATGTTGTATTTTGCTGCAACACGCTTCCAAAACATTTTGTGTTTCTAGTAGTTGCCAAACACGTCGACGAAGAACTTTGCCAATGTTAGACTTTCTGCATGTGGTATTGTAACGCCCAGAAAATATGTCTATCAGAATTCATTAATTGATACCGTAATTAATTAATTACTGAGAAGGACCCAAAAATAAGTGATTTATAAATTTTGACAATAAATAATGAAAATTATATCATTATGTAGAGTTTGGCTATCTGACCCCAACGGTTTAATCGAATTTCAAATCAGAGAAATTTGAACCAAAAAGTGTACCTCGATTCGGACCAAATTAGTCCCAATCAAGGGACTTGCTTTTACCGCCCGCAGAAATCGTCGCTCACTCCACTGAGATGCCAAAACAGTAGCAGAGGGAGTCATCAACCATGTCTTCTTCAGTTCTTCCCATTACTCCTTCCTATATAAACCCCCAAATATTCACTCATCTTCACCATCTTCTAATATACAAAGGCAAAGTGGAAAAATGAACAGTACTTACTCTCGCCAACTTCTCTGGTAAGCTACTCGGTAAATGTGTCCTGGCTTCCTTAGTACGCTAGACAACTCCTTTTTTCTGGGCTTTAGATCGAACCTGATCTCATTCTCCGTTGGACTCCGCCGTAAGATCTAGGGTTTCAGGCCTCTGAATTGCTCACGTAAATAGCCATTCCTCTTGCAATATTGGTTCATTTTTTGTTGTTTCTTGGGGCTATGGAATCATCTTCGCCAGGCCTTCCAATATCCGAGCTCTTTGTTGGTGCATCGTTGATAAATTGGGCTGAAATTGAAGGTATTCAGCCTCGCGGTTACTGTTCACTCGAGATACTCCAGGTTCTAATTGACCTCTTCTTTGGTTTCTTTTGGTTGAATTTTTTGATGGATTACGGTCGATTGGCTATGCTCTTTCTGAATCTGGTGTTGGATTTTCAATCCAATCAAGATTTCTTGGAAGTCAACCCAATTATGGGAATTTGTGAACTGTTCATTATCACGCATACTCACAGATTTGTTCACTCACCTTGGGTACCTTACTTTGAATTCTTTCTTGAGACTTTTGTTTTGAAAAAACAAGATGAATACGAAGAATACCCATTACCAAAACATGACAGCTGGAAAGGGAGCTTGCCCCTGATTCAGATGACATGGCTACGATTAAAGGACTTGCAAGCATGCCTACTTTATGCAAATGTTTATCACAAGTAAATTGGATATTTCAGTAGTAGACTTAATAGTGATGCTCGACTCTCGAACTCCACAATTACAAGTGATTATTGTTTTTGATGTAGATGTTGAATCTGCTCAGGGGTCTTGACCATAACCCCATAAATGCAAATGCTCTGTAAGTTCTTTGACCTTTTAGTTTTATGTTTATATGTGTGAGGGATTCCTTTAAATTTATTGAACATTTAAATAAGTTGCATTGTAGCCCATCTTTTTTGGAGAGCATAATTATATGGTTGTGCGGTTATAATTAGATGGTTGGGATAGATTATTGATTACCTTGAGAAATATTGATTTTGTCTTTGTCATTAACCTGTATAAATGAAGATTTACTTTTTTTAATTATACGTTCTGGTGTGATTCATTTACATTGAATTTTTACAGAAAATTACTCGCGGGTGACGCGAGTTTTGTTGAAATAACTCTCAGGTCCCTCTATTTTGAAGAAGACAGCAGAGGTCCTTACATTTTGTTGTAATGACTGGAAGAGGACATTTCATCCAATATTTCATCTATAAACGTTAATAAATGCATTTTTTTCCTATTTTTCCAATACTGTTTTTTTCTATTTTGCCATTACCTTGTTTTTTCTTTTTTTAAAATTTTTTTATTTCATTTGTTGTAATATAATGCAAACCATTTTGAATTTTTATACGATTTTTTAGAAGAAATTCTAAAATAACACTTTAAAAAATAGTAACAAAATGAAAGAAAAACAAAGAAATAAAAAAAGAAGCGACCTAAGATTTATTACCTTAAAACATTTAGAAAAGAATAGGAAAAAATGCATTTATTAACATTTATAGATGAAATATTGGATGAAATGTCCCCTTCCAGTCATTACAACAAAATGTAAGGACCTCTGCTGTCTTTATGAAAATAGAGGGACCTGAGAGTTATTTCAACAAAACTCGCGTCACCCGTGAGTAATTTTCTTTGAATTTTTAGCTAGGATTCTGAATTTGCTTTAAAAAAAAATCATGTTTTTTATCCTCAGGGTTGGCAACTTTATTTCTCACTCTATCTTAAATTTTTGGCAGCCATGCTGGAGTCACCATTTATCTTCTTATTACCATAAGTCTATAGTGAATTGGTGTATTTGAAGTAGTTTTTATATTTTTGTCAACTTTAAAATCTATTTGGAAAGCAAGAGTGACCGTAGATTGATGAGCTTAGTATATTGTTTGAATGGTAAATTGTTTAAATTGTAAGTTAAGGTACTTGAAGATTCAGGACAGTGATATTCATGTCCTCTTTGAGTGAAAATATGTTTATCTTAATTAATAAAAAATTCAAACTCTCTGCTTTAGTGATGCAACTCAAATTCAATCACATGTTCTTTTTAGATGATTATGAGCAATCTTGGGTGACTTTCACATTTCATCTTTTTTTAGAAAAACAACCAAATGTTCTTCTCAATAGTCTCTTTATAGCCCAAACTATTTGTAGGGACTATAGTTTTTATAGACATCGGTTGGAAATAACTCAAATAAGCTATAATTGAGATTTTGGAAATAAGCTATAATTAACATGCATTTTGATTATTGATCTCAGAATTTGAGACAGTGATAATTTACCTAAATAGAACTAAAACATAATGACTTTCTCAATATACGATCATATGTTTTTATTTCTCAATATAGGACATTAGTCATTATCTATTAGTCATTATTCAACTAAATGTCCAGCATCACTTGGACATTATTCTTGTCACTAGACATTATTAAGTCCTATTCAGGAAATAAAAAACTTAAAGTCCTACATTGGGAGATAACTTATGTTTTGGTCCTATTCAGTGCAAATTTCACTTGAGACAATGAGTTTCATGTTCTACTTGCACACAAATTAATGATATTACTGACTCACGAAGTTGATTTTTTTATTTTTCAAAGAAAATGTAAATATTTTCATCATTAGTGTTGGTACTGACTCACGAAGTGATTTTTTTATCACTTTTGTTAGAGTGTTTAAAATGAGCACGCTTGTTTAAAGATATTCTCTACTATTAAAAAATGATATTGGCAACATAGCATGACAAATATGAACAAGAGAGCAAAAATGATACTACAAATGTTTTTTAGCTTCATATTCAATATTGACAGTGTGGTTTCTCTTCTTTCTCTCTCCAGGTGCTTTTTTTATGAAATTTATCAGCACATTGGCATTGTCTTATTACCAAAATAGGTATTTAATACCTCTACTCATTTGCAGTATGAAATGTAGTCGAGTGATTTGCTTATACTCATATACCAGTGTATTAGTTTTTTTCCCTTTTTAGTTTCTTGGCCTTGACCATGAACTTATTTCAAGTTACTATATTTGACCCATCAAGGTAAACAGTTTATCCTAATATAGTTTCTCAAAATTTAGAAAAGGTATTCTCTCTATTCTTAGATAGCTTTTGGAAAATTATAATGCAATAATATGTCCATTTAGTGCTTTTTTTCTATGAATGATTTTAACAAAAAAAACTAACTTTCTTAGAAGCTGGTAATACTGATATAAAGTTAGTAAATATCTACTAATATACAAAGGTAAAGTGGGAAGATGAATAGTACATTTTCCCGCCAAAATGTATACGGCTATATAGGTGTGGAGGAGTAAATAAAAGTTAATGGATTCTACATTAGTTCTTAAAGAACATATATTCAGATTTATGAAGGGATGGTATTAAATGGTATTAAATGCAAGTGCAGTGTCTCTCTTCCCCAATAGTCTCGAGTTTGCAAATGGGATTTCAATAAATGCTCTAATTCAATGCAATATGATTTAAATGCAAATATATTGAGCTGTCCCAATGAATTGTTGATTTTCCCAATTGTCTCGAGCCGTCCATAAATAAATGCTCTCATTGAATGCTAAGTGATTTAAATGCAATAGTAGTGAGTTGGTGTGTTTTTCTCATTTATTGCAATGTATTGATTGGGTATATATGTATATTCATGGTTATAACTTTTTTATATCCTTATCTAATATTCTTTTTATTTTTGTTGAGGTCAAAGTTTTCGAATGCTTACCCAAAAAAATCCAAAGTGGAGAATTTTTAATTCAATAAAAAAATATTATTGAAATAAGTATTTTCATTTATTCTTTTATTTTTACATGGAAATATTTTGTATGCGAAACACACGAATGGATACATACTGCACTGAATTAGAGCATTTATTGAAATCCCATTTGCAAACTCGAGACTATTGGGGAAGAGAGACACTCCACTTGCGGTTAATACCATTTAATACCATCCCTTCATAAATCTGAATATATGTTCTTTAAGAACTAATGTAGAATCCATTAACTTTTATTTACTCTTCCACACCTACCATCCTCACTTTCTCCTCTAACAATTGGTACCGAAATCAAAACCTCAACAACCACCATTGGAGACTTATTTACTCTACCCAAAAATATTCTTTCTTATCCTAAATTAATCAATTCTTCTAATCTTCCTCAAATGTTACATCAAATTTAGACCAAGGCAATATTATCCCAACGCAAAGTCAACCTCCTTCAAAGCGTAAATGAGTTGTAAGATCGAGTAAGTCGTTTTATCCTTTGCAAGTTCATCTATATTTATTCTTTGAATTCATTCTATTTTAAAATTTTAAATATATATATATATATATATATATATATATATATATATATATATATATATATATATATATATATATATATATATATATATATATATATATATATATCTGTGTGTGTGCGCGCGCGTGTGTGTGTGTAGTGGGAGAACTTAGTAGTACTCGAAGTCATCAATCAATACTCATTGAAGAGGTCATTCAAGAAACTTGGAACATCGATACTGGTCTTGGAGATGATCATGCGGAACCAGTTGAGAAACAAGCTATGAGAAATTTAGAGATGGAATTTCATGAGTCTGGCACTTCAAAATCGTGCGAACCCAAATAAGATTTGTAGTGATGACCTATCAATTTCAAATACAACAAAAAATGTAGTGTACAAAGAAGTATTTCAGAACCTCTAGTTTCGCTCCTTTGTTTGACTATTATTAACCAACATTACGATGTAATGTATATAATCTTTATATTGAATATAATTTAGCTCTGTTTTCTTATATACATGATTAATTTAATATATTAATCTCATTAATTGTTTCAAACTACTGACCGTGCATCGCATGGGTTAGGATACTAGTTCTTATTCCAAAAGAGAGAGCTGAGTGTGAAGAGCATCGTGGTGTTGTCAATTTGGTGTGAAGTCGCCGGAGCTACCCACAAACCTCGTCGGAAGTGTAACACCCCGGCCCCCACCCTAGTCGTAAGTGTCTGCTTTTAGGATTGTAGACTGGCCCCACAAACCAACACAAGTCTTTCCCGTGCACTTTGTCCTCACTCGTGCGCGCCCAAGGAAACTTCCCAGGGGTCACGCATGCTAGAATTGCTCCAGGTCAAGCACGCTTAACTTTGGAGTTTCTAGGTGATGAGCTCTCGAAAAGAAGATGCACCTTGTTGATATGAGTAGTACTATCAATCCTTTTGAGCTCTTCCCATTCCCAACTTAATACGGGGTATTACATTCACCCACACTTAGGAATGCAACGTCCTCGTTGCATCCTTTTTTTGAACTCATAGATCTTCCCCGCTAGGTGAACTAAGCTCTTCTTGACCCGTCACAGTCGCAGGGTTGCTCTGATACCATTTGTAACACCCCGGCCCCCACCCTAGCCGTAAGTGTCTTTCCCGTGCACTTTGTCCTCACTCGTGCGCGCCCAAGGAAACTTCCCAGGGGTCACGCATCCTAGAATTGCTCCAGGTCAAGCACGCTTAACTTTGGAGTTTCTAGGTGATGAGCTCTCGAAAAGAAGATGCACCTTGTTGATATGAGTAATACTATCAATCCTTTTGAGCTCTTCCCATTCCCAACTTAATACGGGGTATTATATTCACCCCCACTTTGGAATGCAACGTCCTCGTTGCATCCTTTTTTTGAACTCATAGATCTTCCCCGCTAGGTGAACTAAGCTCTTCTTGGCCCGTCACAGTCGCAGGGTTGCTCTGATACCATTTGTAACACCCCGGCCCCCACCCTAGCCATAAGTGTCTGCTCTTAGGATTGTAGACTGGCCCCACAAACCAACACAAGTCTTTCCCGCGCACTTTGTCCTCACTCGTGCGCGCCCAAGGAAACTTCCCAGGGGTCACGCATCCTAGAATTGCTCCAGGTCAAGCACGCTTAACTTTGGAGTTTCTAGGTGATGAGCTCTCGAAAAGAAGATGCACCTTGTTGATATGAGTAATACTATCAATCCTTTTGAGCTCTTCCCATTCCCAACTTAATACGGGGTATTACAGGAAGTTTCGCCGAAAAATTCTCAAAACCTTCGTTAAGCTTTGAGGTAAGCCCGTAAATATATCTAGTGACTAGAATGTTAGTATAGATCATTTCTACGTTCATAAACGGTCATTTGGTTGAGTTTTGTGTTTGACATGCTTGAATAACCAAGAATCATAAACCATGAAATTGTTGCTAAAACTATGAATTAATGATACCAATATGATCTATGAACCTTGGAGAACATTTCTATATAGTTTTGTCGAATTTGGTAACTAAAAATGGTATTTTCGAAATTGGACCCGAACGAAGAAGAAGATGAACAGTGGCCGAAAACCAGACTGCCTGGATCGATCCAAAGGGGTGGATCAATCCCCTGGGCATGTCTCCTCTACACATAGATCGATCTAGAGGGCTAGATCGATCCCTTGAAATTGTTCTCCTAAAATCGTTTTGAAAATGTTATTTTTGAGCTCTAAAGTCCTATTTTTGATACCAATTGATTATGATCATTATAAGGATGATTTTTCATAATAAAAATGATGTTTTTGACAAATAAAACCTTATGTGATTCATGAAGGTAAGTTAGGGTGTTAACTCCTGAAAGTATGCCGCTATTTGCTATCGCATGCTATGTTGATTGATGTTTATGATGCATGATTATCATGGATGATTATGAATAATGAACCCACATATTAAAATGATTATTAATGATTGAACCATGATTAAAATGAATATGTTGATGGTTCGTATTATTAATGATATCTAGAAGAACTGTAGGATATACCGATTTGGAAATTGATGATGAATTATTAAGGATATCTAGAACTCTAAGATATATCCATATTATATCGATGTTGGTTTCCAATGCTATCAAGAAGACCTCTAAAATAGATTAGAAATAGGCCTTGCGGGTATAACTATGAATCTGGGTAAAAATGTACGTACAGGATCCCCAAACCAAACTTGAGGATCACTCATTTGGGGATACCACCCAACCCGACAGTGAGCATTCTGCTGTTCGGTTTCTGGTTGACATTAAGCGAAGGTAGGTTTAAGATTTTGAAAATCTTTTTGGAAATTCTATCTTAAACTAGGCCTAGCTTGAGGATTGGATGAAGTACCTTAGACTAGAATATAGTTTAAGAATTGGTTGGAAATATCTTAAACTAGAATTCGTTTAAGGGTTGTTAAAAGTTAAAGAGATAGGCCTTAGACAAAGAATAGTTTAAGGATATTGTTGAATGAAAAATGATGAATATTGTATGATGAATGTTGAATATTGAATGATGAATATTGAATGTTGAATAATGAATGATGAAAATTGAATATTGATTATTGAACATCTGAACTGAACATTATGTGCATGATATCAAATGAATTGATTATTAATTAAGTTTCAATTTATATGGATGTTCGACGCATAAGATATGCTTACTCAGCTTCAACGCTGAGCGTGTAGTACGTTTTATTTGCTACACGCAGGTAAGCAAAAAGAATAAAGCGATGATTTCCTGGAGGGAGATGGGACGAGATGATCTGAATGGATGTGTGAATTGGAATTACTATTTTTAAAGACATGAATTAATTATGTTTGTATTGTGTTTAATTAAGCTTCTGCGACATTAAATTACTCTGTTATTACCTTAAATGAATTATTATAAAAAAAGTTTTAAATGTTTGAAATGTTTTAAATTTCTACGAATACCGAGTTTATACTTTAGTCCGAAAGGGGCTGCAGACCTGCACGGATCAGGGTGTTACAATTTACTTCTTCAGTCTTTCATTATTTTTGGCCTTCCCTTTGCTCATGCCCTCAATGATGGGCTAAAACTCAGAAAGGTCGTATTTGTAACACCCTAATTCGTCCAGGTCTGCAGCCCCTTTCGGACTAAAGTATTAACTTGGTAATCGTATAATTTTAAACCTTTCAAATAACTTTATTCATCATAAATAAAATTCCATACATAACTGTAGAAAATATTGAGAGCTTAATAATAATGCGGAAGCGACCTTTAAACATGTCTCATAACAAACATAATTATTTATTTTCTCAATAAATTCACCAAGACTATCTCGCCCCTTCTGCTTCCAAGAATATGCCAATCATACACTCTGTCTACCTGCGTGTAGCAAACAAAACACACTACACGCTCAGCGGTGAAGCTGAGTAAGCATATCTAAAGCGTCGAACATCCACATTAATTGAATCTCAATTCATAATCAACCATTTGATATCATGCACACAATATATGATTCAAACATTCATGATATTCTCAATATTTAATTCAAAGTAATTTGATATTCAATATCTCAACAACGCTCTTAAATTTTTCTTAATCTAAGGCTACATTATTTTATAATCAACTCTTAGCTATTCTTAGTCTAGACAATATTTCTAACCAGGCCCTTAAACTAGAAATAGTTTAATGCAGAACACAAGAATCGATAATCCACCCTATGAGTCATGTGGATTATGTACCAAACCGAACAGTGAATTGTCGGGTGGGTGATATCCGTTCTGGATCTCGTACGTACGTTTTAACCCGAAATATGAATTGGTCAAAGAGGTATATCTTAGAGTTCTTCTAGATATCCTTAACAATATACACCGTCTTTATGATCACCATTATATTCATTTTTAATCATGATTTAATCATCAATGATCATTCTAATCAGTAGATTTATCATTCATAATTATCCATAATAATTATTCATCATAATGATCATTTAACATAATGTTTAATAACAAATAGCGGCCTAGTCTCGAGTGTTAACACCGGAACTTGCCGTCATGCATCACATAACGTTTTAATAACAAATAGCAGCCTAGAGCTCAAAAATAGCATTTTTAGACAAATTTTCGGATCAGAATTTCGGGGGATCCATCCAGCCCTCTGGATCGATCAAACTAGAAGAAAAACTCCTAGAGGATCGATCCAGAGCATATGATCGATCTAGACAGTAAGTTTCAGGTCATTGTTCATCTTCTTCAACCTCCGGTCCATTTTTCGGAAATACTATTTTTAGTTACCGAACTTCAATTAAATTATATAGAAATGTTCTCCAAGGTTCATAGATCATTTTAGAATCATTAAATCATATTTTTAACATCAAATTCGAGGTTTATGATTCTTAGTTATTCAAGCTTGTCAAACACAAAACTCAACCAAATGACCATTTATGAACGTAGAAACGACCTATATGAACATTCTAGTCATTAGATATATCTACGGGCTTACCTCGAAGCTTAATGGAGGTTTTGGAAATTTTCCATGGAAACTTCTGCGAGGATTACTCTCTGCTCCGGCGACTTCACACTAATTTGACAGCACAAATGAACTCTCCACTTCACCAAGAACACAATGGTACTAATTCTAAGGAGATTGGTGAAGAAATGAGAAGAATGGAGTTTCTTATATAGCAAGAGGAAGAGGAAGAAGACATGGGAAGCTGAGTTGCTGCTGCGTAGGATTCCCAATTCACGATCTTCATTCGGCGATAAAGAGATTCAGCACGTTACTCCCTGATTAAGACTAATTTGGTCCCAGTCGGGGTACACTTTTTAGTCCAACTTTCTTCGAATTGAATTCCATTTGCACCGTTGCGATCGGGCAATTAAACTCTATCCAATGACATAATTTTTATATTTATTTGTAACACTTTTTCTGACATCCTATTTTTGGGTGTTTGACTTTGACAGAGTCAAAATTGGTTTAGTTGACCTTTATTCAAAAAGGTTCTCACATTTAATTCATATCATTTGTTCTGATGATTTATTTCAATAAATCATTTCGAAGTTCACTTTACAAACAAATCTTCATTTATTCTTAACTTGGGTCTGACACAGGTTCCCAATTAAGATCACACAATAAACCAATATGTTGGATTTATCTCTATGAGATTTATCCAGGTTATGATAATGGATATCAAACAAATATTATTTCAGCCCAAATCCCAACAATAAATTATTTTAATCAAAACAAATTTGATTAATTGAACAATTATCCATGAATAATTCTTAGGTATGTTTTGGGGCGTTACATTTCTTCCCTCCTTAAAAGGATTTCGTCCTCGAAATTCTTCTAAGGCTCGACGTTCAACATTTTGTTGTGATCGCACTTAATCATGACTGTGTCATGTTCATTCGATTAAATCATAATCACGTCATTATCCACACAAATATGTATTCTCAAACTGTCGATGTTACCAAACTCGTTCTTTCTTCAAGAGATTAACAATCTTTGATCAAGTAAGGCATTAAGTGATCCTTCAGTATCAACAACTAAAGTTCCCGTGTATAGGGTTGTAAACTTGACATACTGGACATAACACAATTCCCAATTGCACAACGTCGATTAACGATATTCCTCCTTTGATTGTGTTGGCCTTGAATGCCGTACCCCGTAACCATTTTGATGTGCCAAATAAGCTTCCAAATGCTACTAATATCATTTGCAGGAAGAAACCAAACGCCAAACCTCTATTAGCTTGTTTAGCATCACCAAGATATACTCCTACGAGTTTAGAAATTATTGTGTAAAGGTAATGATATATTTTAATGATTAAATTATGCCCTTTCACTAAAAAATTATTTTTAAAATGTCAAATATGTTCTTAGTTGGGGTTATTTTGAAAACGGAACACGAAAAACGAGTTTTGGAAAAATTACACAGACCTAACGGTACCTGGCTACCGTGTACACAGCACCAGGGTACCGCCGGTAGCCAAGTGAACGTACCGTTGTACGTTTCACCTAGGAGGTACACGGTACCCCCTACCGTGTAATAGTACCTGGGTACCAGACGGTAGGCAGAGACGGTTGGCCACCCCCGCCCTAACCAGCTACCACTAGACCTGGCAATCGGGTCAATCGGTTCGGTTCCGGTTCGGGTCTCTTTCGGATATATGTTATAATCGGTTCGGGTCGGTTCGGTTCGGGTCAATTCGGTTCTGGGTTTATTTCGGGTTGATTGGTTTTTGGTTTCGGTTCGGGTTTGTATCGGTTCGGGTTTGTATCGGTTCGGGTTATATCGGTTCAGGTTTGTATCAATTCGGGTTGTATTGATTTGGGTTTATATAGATTTGAGTTTATATCGGTTTAAATTTATATTAGTTCAAGTATAATGTAAACACATACATACTAATAAATGAAATAAATCACATAATAAAATTAGTTAACTATAATTTTTATATACTTTCTATAAAAATACAAAAGTATTTTAACTTAAGTTATAAAATGCAAAGTAAAAGATTTGTACATGAAAGTAGTTACATGGTTTGCACCCATAATTTAAATATGTTTTTTTAGAAACACATCAACATATGTAAAAATATATAGGTAATTCATTTTCTCGAAATTCATTTGATAAATGAAATATTAATGAATTTGATCAATTTCGGGTCTAATCAGGTTCGGGTCTAATCGGTTTCGGGTTTAACCGGGTTCGGGTTTAACCGGGTTCGGGTTTAATCGGTTCGGGTTTAATTGGTTCGGGTTTAATCGGATTCGGGTCTGAATCAGGTCTGAATACATTCGGTTCGGGTTTGGTTTGGTTCGGATCATTTCGGGTGTTCGGTTCTATTTCGGTTCTTTAGTTTTCGGGTCAAATCGGGTTCAGTTCCGGGTTATTCGGTTCGGGTTATCGGGTCCGGGTTAGTTTTGCCAGGTCTAGCTACCGCCAGAGGCGAACCAAAGTTTTGGCCTACGCGGTACCCCCAAACGGTAGGCTATACCGTGGTCACGGTACTTACCCTACCGTGAAGGGTACCGGATCCGTTGGCAGCACTGTAGCAAATTGCCAATTTAAATTCAAATCACCCCTAATCACTTCCTAACGGCATTTAACGTTAAAAACTCAAACTTTAACATTCCAAACTCCTATTTAAACCCCCTCTAAGTCTCATTTTATTCACAACAACTTCCCAATTAAATCTAAAGCCTCTTTCTCTATTCTTGAGTGTTCTTAAAGCTTTGTTCTTATTTTTCTTACTCTTTTGAGTAAAAAGCTTTCACTATTTTCATACACTCACACACAAGGGCATTTGTGCTTCATTATTTTATATCTTGCATATAGGCTTTTGTTGTTGTTGATTTAATTTTTTGTTCTTCTCCTACCCAACTTACATTTGTTATCATTTTGGTAGAGAAGCAACACCAATCTTTTTATTGATTTGTAAAAGGTGTGGATAGCCTCTAAATCCTCATTGTAAGGTTGAAGATAGCCTTAAAATTTTCGGTTGTAAACGGTTGAGATAGCCGTAGTAAAATGTCATTTGCTTATTGGCAAGGGTTGTTTGCCAAACCTCGTTTTTTGAGTCTTCTTAGTGAAGCCAAACAAGTTAGTGGAGGTTAAATCCTTGAGGAGGAGCCTCGAGGTACTGGAGTAGGGAGTTCTCGAACCAGTATAAAATCGCTTGTGTCGTATTTTTATCTTTTATACTTTTCTTGCTCTTTTTCCGCTACTACTTTGCGCATAAGTTTTTGTTTTTATCAAAAATTTTCAAACACCCTAAT